GAGAGAGAGAGAGAGAGAGAGAGAGAGAGAGAGAGAGAGAGAGAGAGAGAGAGAGAGAGGACATCTTCGTACATCGTCGTATATTTTGGCGGCGACGAGATGGTGGTACACGTCAGCGTGCAAGTCCGACGCTGGCAGTCGATCGGACTTCTTATTGTCTGCCTCATTCTGTGGAGCTCGGCGCGCATCTCGAAGGGATCGGGAGAAGGCCGAGCAGCCACGTACGCATCGAGAAAGACTGCTGATCGTGTCCGCCACGGCCATTGGGATCCCGACAATCGTCAATCAGATGAACCCACCGATGATGGCAACGTCAACAAAAATGGTATCCTTCGAGAAGAGGAGAAAGGAGGAGGAGGAGGAGGGGGAGGGGGAGGAGGAGGAGGAGGAGGAGGACCATATCGAGAAAATCTGATAAAAGAAGATGGGGAGCCAGGGAGGGGGAGGAGGAAGGATTTGGCAGTTGAGCATCATTCAATGAACACACGACGGAAGGTGTTTGAATGGATATCTCATCCTGCTCCTAAGCTTCCCGATAGACGACACGTGTACAGACTGTCAGATTTTGGCGGGGTAGGAGATGGACGAACGGTAAACACCGAAGCTTTCAGAAAAGCCATCGCTAAAATCCAGGAGGTGGCTGAGCATGGAGGGGCAGCGCTCCACGTGGAAGCCGGAGAGTGGCTCACGGGTCCGATAGATCTAACGTCACATATGACGCTGTACGTAGAAGAAGGCGCCACCATTCTCGGTAGCAAGGTGGGAAACATTAAATCCTCTCTCTCTCTCTCTCTCTCTCTCTCTCTCTCTCTCTCTGTGTGCGTGTGTGCGTCTCTTTCTCATCTGTCTGCGTCTCTCTCTCTCTCTCTCTCTCTCTCTCTCTCTTCAACATTCTCTAAAGCGCAGTAGGTAGTGATTAGTACTTTCTAGCTTCGGAATCACCTTGCGTTGTTTTAGGAGGGAATCGAACCGGCGACCTTAGCCACAAGAGCGAGGTCTCTATACACCACTAAGCGAAAGTGTGTTTCATAGCGGGGCCCGTATGGCTTTTATTTTTTGGTCGGTAAACGTGAATGATGAATGAGTGAGCTGGCGGTGAAAAGAAAATCGTTCATCAAATGAAAGAAATTATTCCTGACTTAGGGCATACTCACACTAGGCCCTCAATCGCAAAATCGCAAAATCGCAAAATCGCAAAATGAGCGGTCAGATTGAGTCCTCGTAAAGGAACGACTGCATCTGGCCGCTCATTTTGCGATTTTGTGATTTTGAGGGCCTAGTGTGAGTATACTCTTAGCAAAAATTTCGATTTTTTTTTTTCTTTTTTTTTCTTTTTTTTCTTTTCTGGTGAAGTCTACAAACGTTATGGTCCGAGTCTGGAAAGCAGTTAACTTTGTGTGCAACATCATTAAAAATGTATCTCGAGGTGCTGTTCGTCCAGGTACATCCAAATGTACCTGGACGTCAACTTCGTGGTTCGGAAAGGTCGTGGCTATGAGATCCCTCCTTTTTTTCATTAACGCAATTTGATATTTATTACTATATATAGTATATACCATGTCCATCAACGAATTGATTGAACCTCGCAGACAGCACACATAAACTGCCTTAAAAGTTTTCCGATTTGAAATAGTCCGGCAAATAATTGACAAGTACTTCAAATTAGCCTTCCGACAAAAACCGAAGACGGAGGAAGGCGTCGCTGTAGCTGAGCAAAAATCGTATTCGCCACAGAACGACATGGAAAAGGAATCACAAAGCAGAGGCTCTCTCTCTCTCTCTCTATCTCTCTCTCTCTCTCTCTCTCTCTCTCTGTGTCTCTCTCTGTGTGTCTCTCTCTGTTTCTCTCTCTGTCTCTCTGTCTCTCTCTCGTTCTATGTCTGTCTGTCTGTCTGTTTGTCTCTCTCTCTCTCTCTCTCTCTCTCTC